TTTCCTTCGCTGCTGCCGTGACCGGGAGATGGAGCGGAAGACATGGGTTTTGCTGTGACTGTGCATGTGTTTGGTTATTAGGTTTCTGTCAATTCACGGTGGAGGTTGTGAGGTTATGAGGGTTTCTCGGTGGTGTGATGAAAAAATAAAAGAGAACCGACATAGCTTTTCGTGTCGATTCCCACAGACGATGCCAAATGTTGATGCAAAAAATTGGGTCGATCTTAGACCAACATAAATTCGACCGTGAATCACACAAACGCATAAGAACACGAAGAGATATCGTGGTTCACCTCAAGTTGAGGCTACGTCCACACTGGTGTTGATTCCGTTTTACTATCTCAATGAATGTTGAATATACATGAAGCCTATAGAGGCAGTGTTTGCTCTCTTTGCTATTCTGTTTGCTCCCCCCTTTAAGTGAATGTGAGGGAGCCCTTTTATATAAGGGGTGTGCTATCCACACACCCCTTTTTACTTCTCACACACCCTTTGTTAATTTCTGTCCATTGATCTTCTTCAATTCATCCAATCCGACGGTCGAAAACCCAAAAGATGTAGGAGAAGTAAAAAAGGGTGTGTGGATATCACACCCCTTATATAATAAGGGTTTCCTCTTCTCTTACATGAATCATGGGCTAAGTAATGAAGCCCAAATACAGAGGCCCAATATATGGTATAACAAACCCTTTTGTTCAATTTGAATATCTGCATATTTGATTTTGGTATTGTATAAATAGGATTTTTAATTTTAATCTTGAATTGGACTTTGATTGATTGTTTCGACCTCTATCTCACAAACCCTTTTGTTGCTCTCAAACCTCACTTTTCCTCGCTCTCCGATCTCAACTTCTCTCTGTCTCTCACTTTCTTCCTGAAAATGATCAAGCCAGTAATAATTTGTTTAGATCTTTTTGTCAGAGATTACAAACCAGAGTGCTCTCTCACTGAAAAATAGTAAAATTCGTCTCGATTTGAAAAAAATTTGGGGCCCATAAAAGATCGCATTTCCTACAGCCGATTTGGTGTAGGTAATTCTCTGCTTTGAATGTTTAGGAGTGTAAATTTGGATTTATAAATGGGTTTATTGTTCAAATTTTGTTATTGTGATTTTGGGGATTTTGTTTGTAGCTTCCGAATTCCAAGTCATGGTGTTTAATTTGGTTTTGTTTTCAACTTTAGGAGGTCGTGGTTTTCATATTTTGGATTTTTCTTTGCGGCCTACGAAGCCCTCTGTATTTAAGGGGGTGTAGTCAATTTGGATTTCAGAGGATTTTAATGGATTTTTTTAAGTGACCAATTTGAAAGGATTTTAATTAGATTTACAATTCTACGTGGATTTTGGTAGATTTATATGGATTTCTATTATAGATTTTTATGGATTTCTTAGGATTTTAGTTGACTCCTACAACATAAAATGAATTTCTTTTTAAGCACACAATCTGAAAATAACATAAATTGAAAGGAACATAAACATATATCCATTGATATAGAAATACAAACCAATCAAATATGTAAAAAGAATGGGTCATTGAGAATATTGATCCAAGAGTTTGAATAATTGTAAAGGATAGCTTCTGCTTTAGAACATCATATCCATTCAAGAATGATGATTTCAAGTTCAAGAACAGGATATCCAATCATGAATAATAATATATGTGAAAGAATACCAAATGACAATTGAAATTGAGTAGGGCATATTTGGGTAGCAAAATACTGGGATAAAAACATTTTAACCACAACAAAAAAAAAAAAAAAAAAAAAAAAAAAACAAAAAAACAAAAGAAACATTTGAACCCAAAAACATGGACCCTAATTTGCAGAAAAAAAGGCTTTAAATCAGAAGTGCAAATGGGAAAAGCCCAACTTAGAAAAATCAAAAGTACAAATGAGAGAATCTCAATTCGGAAAAAGCAAGAGTATAAAGCAAAACAACATACAACTATAATCCAAATTAAAAAAAAAAGAAAACTAATGAAAAGGGTTTCAAATCTTTACATTTTAATAAAAAACCACTCACTAACTTTATTTTAATAATAGGGACAAAAGATCAAAAAAAAAAAAAAAACATAACAAACCCACTAGCGTTGGGCGCGTACCCCCCCACCCCCCAATCCACTTTTTTGCTCCTACCTTTTGTCCCATCATTCAGCTACATTAATAGTTTTTTTTTGGCATAGAATTAAAAAAAAAAAAACTTCGAATTGAATTACATTCTCATGTTTTATTTTTGTGGTGTTGTTTTCTAATAGTAGTCATGATGATGAGAAACTTTTCAATGTGCCCAGAACACGGAATGGTACACTCCATACAAGTTGTGAAAATCTTGTGTTAAAAAATTAATAACATAAAAAATAAAATTTTCCACCACACTTATATAATAACATGTGGTATATCATTGGTGTTACGGGCACAAGGAAAAATTTCTCGAAGATGACACCTAAGCTCAAGAAATTGGATGGAAAGCTACATTTATTATTGTAGGTATATGAAAAAAGTGAGGAAATTTTAATTTGGTAATTGAAAACAGCTTTTTAAATATAATTACTGAGAATTAAACATTATTTATAAAACTTGACCAATAAAGGTCTAAGTTTCAAACCTTATGAAACTGAACCAAGAATTAAACACTATTTATAAAATTTTACCAATAAGTAGACACTATTAATGAAATTAGACCACTAAGTAGACATCATTTATGAAACTAGATCAATAAGTAGATACTATTTATGAAACGAAAACAAGAATTAAGCATAGTTTGAACACTGGACTATACACTATTTATGAAACTGGAGTAAGAACTAGACAATATTTATGAATTATGACCAAGAAATAGGCATTATTTATGAAAGTTGACAAATAACTAGACACTATTTATGAAACCGGATCAAGAAAGAGACACTATTAATGAAATTGTATCAATTACTATACATTATTTATGAAACTATACTCAATAACTAGGCATTATTTATGAAAAATGATCAAGAACTAGACATCATTTTATAAAAGTAGACAAAAAACTAGACATTATTTATGAAATTGAACCAATAAATAGTATAGTACCGTTCAGTTTCATAAATAGTGCAGTTTCATAAATAGTGTTCAGTTTTATAAACAGTGTTCAGTTTCATAAACAGTGTACATGTACTGCGCGCGCGTCAGGTTTTTTGTTTTTTTTAAATTGTGTCCTTTTCGTTAAAAATTAAGTTTTTTTGTCATTTTTATTAAAATTTAAGGGTTTTTCATTAAAATTTAATTCTTTTTTATTAAATAAAGTTTATAGCATGGTTTTTTGTTAAAATAAACTTAGTCCAAGCTCTTTTCATTAAAATTCCCAAAAGAAAAATCATGTTCCGATTGTTGCTCATCTTCCCAAAGGAACAAACCAAGAGCATGAATTCAGAAAAATACATAAACAATGCGAAAATGGGGAGTCTATTGGGAAATGCTCTATGGTAGGACTGTTCACCTTCTATGGTTTGTTGTGAAAATAAATCTGAGGGGGGGGGGGTGTTGAATTGTTGATAGCATTTGTTATTTATATTACCCACTCTCTAATTCATTAAAACCCTTCATTCACAAAAATCCTAGAAAATCTTTGACATTTCCACTACAGCTAGATTTGTATGGACTTTTTAAAATTTTAATTTACTACCATGAATTTGGATGTATTCTTTAAATCCTCGTACATCCTAATTTAACTACACCATGATTTTAAAATCTTTTAAAATCCACATTCAAACTCCTAATTGACTACACTCTAATTTTAAAGTCTATTAAAATAATATCAAATCGTAGTTTGACTAAGGTGAGCAGTTTTAAAATTCCAGAGTTTTGATATAAAGTTGTGTTTGGTTTTTTTATTATATTCGACTTGAATTTGGTTTTTTGTTGTTTGATTTTAGTGAAATCACAGTTTGGGTTTAGACTTTTGGTTGGGTTTGGTTATAATTTTCTGTGTTGATTAAATTTGATAACTCCAAAACTGATTATTGGTTTGGTTTCATAGGTGAGGGAGATAGAGGGAGAGGGGGAAATTGTGGGTTCAACACTCTCGCTTCCGTTCTTGGAAGGTAATTCTTTACCATTTAAGTCTCATTCAATTTCTGTGAATTTACAGTTTTTGGTTGTTTTAATGGAAAATGGTTTCTGGGTTTTGTTTGTTTTTTGGTGTGGGGGGTGGGGGGTGGTTTATATATGTGTGGAGAAATTTTTGGTGAAATATGGTCAGTATAAGGCTTTTTGGGTTGTTTTGGTTCAACTGGGAGTAGTTGCTGAATTTTTCGTGGTGAGAAAGAGTTTTTATTTTTCCTAAATAGAGTTATTTATTTTGAAATCCCAAATTGAATGAAGACTTTATATATTGCTGTAGCAGTTGCAAAGAAATGAAATGTAATTAGGTGATTACTTTGTTTGTGTTTATGTTAAAATAGAAAATAATTGTTAGATAAGTACTATGTTTAAATCAATTTATCATTGATAATTTAATTGTGTTACCATGGTTCCATTCTTCCGAAATTTCTGAGTTCGAAGCAGATCAATATTTACATTTTTATGTTTAATTTTGGGAAGAAATGAAAATGAGTTTTGCCTTTTTGAGTATTTCATCAGTACTAGCTTGCTGCATATGCTGTTCTCTGGGTGTAAAGATAATTCTCTTCTAAGCAAGCTCGCTTATCTTTGAACTATTTAACTGATTTGTGGTTGCAACAAGATTTTTCCGAACTTTTCCCAGTCTTTTTAACAGTATTAGGTCTCTGTCCTGCATGTCACTAGGCTTATTCATTTTTCAATTCACATTGATCACGGATTTATAGTTGATTGCATTTCATTTTGACTGCTTTAAACGGGTTTTCATCAGCATGTCTGACATGATAAAATCGTGTCTTTTGGATTAATTCAAACAATGTAAACATTTCATTCGTATTCTTGATCGTTGTTAATATTACAGTGCATTTTGAAACCTAAGTTATGGATCTATTAGTTTCAATTTAAACATATTTGGAAACTTAGAGATACGTTTATTAGTTCACATGTATTACTGCTGGAAAGTTAGAGACTGCTGATGATACTAGATTTATCCATACAATTTCTAACCTGCAGCAACGCTTGGGCATCACTTTCTAGTAAATGCTAAATTACACATCATAACAAAAAAACAAAAAAACAAAAAAACAAAAAAACAAAAAAAAAACAAAAAAGAGTTTCCAAAGAACTATCTAGGATATACTTCGGTGATCAATGAAACCTCATTTTTTGGTGCTTTGACAGAGCTGTTCTTGGATCGATCCGACCCGGTTGTCATCACCTCTGAACTATTCCTCCATCCCAAGACACGTCAGATCCAATGTTGCTATCCCTGAAAAATGCTGGTTGTGGGGGTACCGGAAGTGTGACTGAGTAACTATTAAGCATTAGAACAATAGCATTCATGGTTGGCCTATCAGCTATATTTTCTTGCACACACAGTAACCCAATGTGGATGCATCTCACTATTTCATTTCTTGAACCATTCGTCAATGTGGGATCAATTAGATTTGAAGTTGTCCCTTCCCTCCAACATATCCATGCCTGCAACGATTGTAAAATTTGTAGAAACATAATTAGGGGTTTAATTATTTTTCTTGGTTGCAAGATGCATATTGTTTCAAGTACTTACATAGCTTAGAAGATCCTCCACATTTTGTCCATGACGAAAGCAATTATTTTTTTGACCGCTTACTATCTCCAAAACTAAGACACCAAAACTATAAACATCTGACTTAACAGAAAAGTGCCCATGCAGTACATATTCTGGAGCCATATATCCACTGCATATCAATAACAAGAATAATGTTGTTTTTAACACTGACATATTGAATTATTGATATAGATTTACACAATTCTAATACAAGCCATGTAGACTCATCAAGTACTTACTAGGTCCCCCCAATTCGACTGGTGTTGCCTTGTGTTTGATCAAGCTCGAACAACTTTGCCATGCCAAAATCTGATATTTTGGGGTTCATTTCTTCATCTATCAATATATTACTAGCTTTGAGATCACGATGAATAATTCTAAGCCGAGATTCCTCATGAAGGTAAATAAGTCCTCGAGAAATGCCTACAATGATTCTATGGCGCCTATTCCAATCCAATTGTGCGCGCTTGATTGAGTCTGCATGTTCAATTAAATTGAAGAATATAATGTTTGTTGTATGTTACATAATGATAAAATTTTGAAGTTAAAGCCAAAAAGGACAAGAAGATCACTGATGCACAAATACCAAATATGATGTGGTCGAGACTTGCATTAGGGACAAACTCATAAATAAGAAGCCTTTCAATTCCTTCCAAGCAGAAACCCAAGAGCCTAACTAAGTTCCGGTGTTGAAGCTTTGCCACTAACAAGACCTCATTTTTAAACTCCAAATCTCCTTGTCCAGAATTTACGGAAAGCCTTTTCACTGCTATTTCTTCTCCATTCAATAACCTACCCTGGAAGAGTATCAAAACAAAAAGGTTTGCATTGGTGTTGCCCGTGTGATGTTGTTAAGATTTCAAAGGGATGTTAGGTTTTATCACAATAAGCCGGCCTCGGTGTTACTAATGGTGGAATAATTGTTATGTTGTATTTTATCGTCAGGTATGAAGTGAGATTTTATATTCTTCAATAGATGTGTTATATATATATATATATATATATATATATATATATATATATATATATATATTACCTTATAAACAGAACCAAATCCTCCTTGTCCTAGTTTATTGGCTTCAGAAAAGTCATCTGTGGCAACTCTAATGGTGTCAAAATTGAATTGCAAGGATTCTGCCCTTCCCATTTCGTCCGCGTCTTCTCCTAGGGTACAGATTTAACAAAATTTACGTAAGTTCATATCTAAAATAAATAGATCTAGATGCTGTAACAGTAGTAGGCTTCTCCACTTGAAGGAAATTGAGTTAAATGTTGCTGTGTTTATTTTGTCACAGTATATACGTACCTGGAACTAAACTACTTTGAAGCTTTTTACTTGCCTTCCGTACTCTTAGACAAAAGCACATTAACATAACTAGTAACAAAGAAGCAATAATTGGCACGAAAATAATGATGACAGTCTGAGATTTGTTGCTCTTCGATCCTGCAAAGTAAAATCAGAAATATATATATATATATATATATTTTTTTTTTTTTAGAAAACCTCGACGGTATGAGGGGAAGAAATATATCTTTTTTCATTGATCAATTAAATGGAGACCAGTGTAAAGCAAATTACTAGAGTCATAGGTGTATGTAATGGAGTGTACATACATCTACGTTGTGCATACGTACCTTGTGAAGTATTTGTGGTATTGTTTGATGGTGGAAGAGAAGATACTGATGGTGGCATTGATAGTGGCACTGGTGGAGGGCCTGGCGGCGATGTCAATGGTGTAAAAGTTGTAGGGTCAATGAAGCTGAAAACCTCGAATCTAAGGTTACAGCTGGGACTAAAAACTCTCCCACCTTCTGTCCCTTCACAACATTGGTGGATATCCACAAAAGCTCCACTTAAGCAATCACTGCACGCTTGCTTGGATATGTCCGGCGTGCACTGCGCTAGTGCATACACTGTTTTGGAAGTTGGGACACTTGCGTTTCCGAATGCAAACTTCCGAAGAGAACCACCAGCTGCAGCCTCACTTCTTATCCTGTCCACTACCTTCCTCAGCTCTTGGTTGAATCCATCCAGGCCCGACGACGATATTTTATTAGGATTCTGCACATAGAAAGAAGGACTAGTTTCCATAACGCCATAGAAGAAGCGGTTTGAGTAGCGTAGCATGCATTCGTCGTGCCAACCAATTGCTTCCTTCTGATTAGGGCAACGCTGAGGCAGAGCATATCGGGAGTTATTTAGGCAGGTGCGGCAATCTTCCGCCATGACATCTGCCCTACAAAGTCCGATTGCATAAATTTGTTCGTTCGACGAGTTTTGACTATAGGATGCATTGTAAAAACCGTACCCGTTGCTGTTTTCTTCGGAGGGCAGGGAGGAGAGAAGGCGGTTGAGGTTTGTCTGATAGGTAATATTGGTGGTGTAGTTTCCATTCTCATTTACACAGAAGTGGTGTAGAAAATCTGGAACTTGACCAAGGGCTTGATTAATCATGAGAAGCAGAATCGGATAGAGGCAGGATAGAAATCTCGAGGAAACCATTTGTTTGATATTTTTGCTGAAATTGGTTTGTAAAAGGGGATTATAAATTTAGAATTATGACAGAAAACTTGCTAGATTTCTATATATGAAGAATGAAGTCAAAGAACATCTCACTTTATGCTATGCATGTGATGAGGATATAAGGTTGATAGAGATGGGAGTGGTGGGCGACATGCTAAATGAATCAAAGTCGTCGTTTGGCTGGTTAAATTTCTACCGTGATTGGCACGCTGGGAGTACTGGTCCCAAAACAACTCTTAGTCTTTCTCTTACACAAAATCACTAGACTTATTGCAATTACCTAAACAAGAATGAATTAATATTGCACCATTGAAAAGCAAAAATGAAACAAATAAATGCTAAATTACACATTATAATTTCAAAAGGGTAAATTACATTTTAACGCTCAGGTTTACAGTCAGTTGCAATTTTATACAACATGTTTAAAATATTTCAGTTTCATACATTTACTTTTATTTTATTTCAATTTCGTACAACCGTTGATTAAACTGTTAAATAAACTATTAAGTGATGATGTGTCATGAGTGGAGTCCATATTTTGCTGATTTGGAATTCAAATTTTGCCACGTGGGTAACAAAAAAAAAAGAATATCTGAAATGCTAAGGGTGAGAGGTGAAAATTTTAATTGTGACGATAACACAAGTGGTCTACCACGTGTTTTAATAGAAGTGGTGAAAAATTTTATATTTTAAGTTATTAACATTTTAACACACATACCCAAACACGTGATGCACAAAGCGCTGAAGAAGGAGAACGGAGTGCAGACCCAATCGCCGTCGCGACATCGCAATCGACCCAATCGCCCAAGAGGAGAAGGAGATGCTGAAAAAGGAGATCGGAGAGCATGGAGACCCGATTGCCAACCATCACCACGATCGCTTCTCTCAATAGAGAAATGGCTGCCGTGATGAGGTTATCGATACTGACGTGGTTCAAATTTCAAAAAATAAATAAAAGAAATTAGGAAATCGAAGATGGAAAATGGAGAGAATTCTGATATGGGTTTTTAAGATTGAACAACTTCTGAAGAACCCAGAATTTAATTTCCATTTTTGACGTAGGAATTTCAAGAAATGGAAAGCTTTTTGTTGGTATTAGGTTTTGCCAAAAAAATTATAAATTAATAAAAAGGGGAAGCAAGGGTCTTGGATCCTTATAACAAGGAAGATGATCAATCATTAAGAGAAATCAAACTCCATGGGAGGTGGGAGGGCTCTGGAGATTTTGGAGACAATGAAGAAGGTGGGAAGGCTCTGGAAATTTTGAACACCCAGAAAAGAGAAGACTCAGATTTGAGAAGACACGCTTCGTTTCTCGAGCGGGAAGTAAACAAGTTCAGCCACATCCAATTTGGTGAAAGTGTTTCCTGGGATTGGCCGAGAAAAGTGCTGCGCTTGGCGGCCTTCTTGTCATTATGGATGTTGAAGTCGTAGATCTGGGGCCATGGATTCGTTGTCGTGGATGAGAAATTCTAGCTTCTCCGTTCTCCTTTTTCAAATCAGCAAAATATGGACTCCACACGAATTTTAACAAATTATATTTATTTTGGGCTTTTGGGGTTGTTTGGGAGTGAGCTGTTTAAAAAAAAACAACTATGAAAAAAAAACTGTGAGGGTTTTAGGTGTTTGGTAAACTGAAAAAAAAAAGTTTATTTTGGAAGCTGCTGTGAGAATAAGCTGAAATCAAATGAAAAGCTGAAGTAGCTATTTGCAGCTTTGGAAAACTGGTTTTTTTTTTCAAAGCACAACGAGCTACAGTGCTGATTTAATGAAAATACCCACTATCAGACTGCTTTTTTTTTTTTTTTTTTTTTTTTCCAAAAGCACTTTTACAAAAAAATTTACTAAACATTTTGCTGATTTATTTCACAGCCGCTTATTCTCACAACAATTTTTTTTCAAAGCACAGCAATACCAAACCAGCCATTTGGATGATGAGAAAGATTGAAGCTTTGAATGTTTTAATGAATACAACGAGTCATGGTGCACGAAGTTTAATTCCTTATTTTAAAGGAGATTTGTTTTTGGTCGGTGAGGTAAGCAGATATATATCATGCACGCGGAGGATGAATATTAAATTTCTGCTGTTTGCTTCCCTTGCCCACTTGAACCTTTCCGGTTAGTCCTTTCTAATCTTGATTAGGGAAAATAAGCATTTGCCTCATTACTATATAAGTAATGAAATGTGGTGTTCTGCTGTCAAGCTTGTTTCCACGTCACCTTTTCTTATTTGGTAGATCGGGTATATATATATTAATTTATTTATATCAACACAATGCATGTGACAAAGATTAGTGATAGAAAAAAGGTTGATAGAGATGGAAGTGGTGGGCGACATGCCAAATTAATCAAAGTCGTCGTTTGATTGGTTAAATTTCTACCGTGATTAGTGCTGGTCCCCAAACGATGGTCCTTTGACTCAAGAAAAACAACTCTTGGTCACTTACACAAGGTCCATAGACTTGTTGCAATTACCTAAACGAGAATAAATTGTTGCACCATTGAAAAGAACAATGAACCAAATAAATGCTAAATTACACATTGCAATTGTTAAAAAAATGCAGTTTCCATCTTAAGGAGCTATTTAGGATATACTTCGGTGATCAGTGAAACCTCATTTTCTGGTGCTTGACAGAGCTATTCTTGGATCGACTCGACCCGGTTGTCATCACCTCTGAACTATTATTCAATCCCAAAGACATGTTAGATCCACCGGTACCATGCCTGAAAAATGCTGGTTGTGAGCGTACCGGAAGTGTGACTGAGTAACTGTTAAGCATTAGAACAATGTGGATGCATCTCATTATTTCATTTCTTGAACCATTCATCAGTGTGGGATCTATAAGATTTGAGGCTGTCCCTTCCCTCCAACATTTCCATGCCTGCAACGATAGTGAAATTTGTAGAAATATAATTAGGGAGAAATTATTTTTCTTGGTTGCATTATGCATATAGTTTAAGTACTTATATAGGTTAGAAAATCCTCCTCATTCTCTCCATGACGAAAGGAATTACTTTTCTGTTCGCTTACTATCTCCAAAACTAAGACACCAAAACTATAGATATCCAACTTAACATAAAAGTGGCCATGCATCGCATATTCTGGAGCCACATATCCACTGGATAGCGATAACAAGAATAATGTTGTTTTATCACTAACATATTGGATTATGGATATAGATTAACACAAGTATAATTGATAAATGAATTTTATATTATATATTTTACCCTATTCTTCGTATATTTTGGTTAATATTTTGGAAGAATTTTGATACTTTGAATTGTATTTTTAATATAGGACTTTTGACTTCCTTTGGAGCAAAACGTGGTCAAATGGACGAATGTTGGAGTAATTCCAGTCAGAAGACGTTCGTGAGTCACTTAGCTTGATCGTATCAAAATTTAGGATTTTTCCACCAAGCGGTTATTTTCTGGTGATAAAATAAAGGAGCGATGTGAGGTGCTGGAAAATGACGTTTATGGGCTTAAATTGTGTTTTTGGAGCCCAAGATGACCTCAAATATTTTCATGGAATTCTAGAGATGTGTTCGGAACATCCTGATCTTTAAAACAAGCTAACTTGGGCCGGATTTGGAGGAGATCTGAGGCTAAAACGTGGTTGGACAAGTACTTGGCAGATTCTCCTAGTTTAATTAGGGTTTTATTTTCTAAGATATTTTATTATTTTTCTTAGTTTCCTAGTTGGAATAAGAAACCAATGTCTTAGGGTTTGTGGAGGGCTGAGAAAATGTATTGCTTGGCCGTCTACAGTTTTTCACTACGCTTATTATTATTCAACTTCAGAGACAAAGAACTTTGCTAGGGTTCTGGGAGATTTTATACTTTAAGGTGTTTTCATTCATTTTCTTCTTAATAATATTTTCTATGTTTTCAATTATGAATATGCGTAACTAATTCCTCATGCTAGGGCGAAGCCTTGAAACTTAGCATGAATATGTAATTTTTATTTAATTGCTTATGATTGATTGCATGCACACTTTGAATTATTGATCACTATTTTTAAACTATCTAATTGTCTTGATGACTGGCCACCATTAGGATATTTAGACAAGTGATTGGATGCAATTCGGTCGGAATATCACCGGAGGATTGAGTATTGCTTCTTGTGATTGATAATTGTAATTTCATCTAAGGCGAATATCACGTTCTTAGGGGTTGCATGGTTCTTCAAAAGGTTTTCATAAAACTTAGTGAGCCTTGCATGTTCATATTTGATCTGAATATCACAGACGGATTGCATAATAGATATACGTTCTTGCTTGAATATCACAAGGAGAAATATATTAGGAAAACCTAACCTTCGAAGTGGCATGTGTAAATCATAAGTAATTGGTAGAAATTCATAGGATTGCTAGGTGATGGTGGAACCCTAGTGTCTTTATAAATTGGTATTTAAAACTCTTTTCTTCAATTATATTAGTTTTTGTTTAAAATTCGTTTTTAATATTACCCAATCTCAAACTCTCTTTTCTCAAGTTTTAATTCTAAGTATTTAATTAGGAATTGTTTCTACATAAATTGTCCAAATAGTCCTTGAGGAGAACGACCTTGCATGAGCATCTATACTACAACATCCTTGTATTCTTGCAAGTATTTCATGTGATTTTGACCCTATTTGCATAGACGTTAAAAATCCTATCAATAATATAAGCCATTTAGCCTCGTCAAGTACTTACTAGGTCCCCACAATTCGACTAGTATTGCCTTGTGTTTGATCAACCACAAACAAACATTTCTTCTACAATTCCAAACCTTCTTACTAAGAAAACCACAAAGAAATTTGCCAGAAGTCTAGTTTTCCGGTGCTGGAATCTCGACTTAGATTGTTGAATCCTGGTGAAGTAAACGTTCGTAGAACTACAAGCACATAGTAGGGATGAAATTATATGTCAAGGAGATTGCGGTACGCAAGCCTCGATCTTCAGTTTGTCTGTTTAATATTATTTCGCTTTGTTCATACTGTTAAATTATTTGTTCACATTTATTATTTTTTAACATATATAAATTTATGATTGATTATTGATATTTATCAAACGCAAGGTTGCAATACTGGGTGATGCTGTTTGAATTTCGTTTTGTTCATACTTTGTTAAATTATTTGTTCGCATTTATTATTTTTTAGCATATATAAATTTATGATTGATTATTGATATTTATCCAACACAAGGTTGCAATATTGGGTGATGTTGTTCAAATGGACAAGGCCGTCCCTAAGATTTCGGTACAAAAGTGAATTAGAGGCCTTAAAAATTGCGAATTTTTTTATTTTTTCATTTTCAGATGTGATTTCCATAAATTGTAATAGCACAAACAGGCAAGCCTCGAATCCATTCATAGGCGGATATAGAGAAGCCTAAATATCACTTGTGCTAATAATTGATTTTATAATTTTCTACACATATTACTATAATAGATATATGTATGTAAAATTGAAAAAATCAGGGCCCTTCTGATTTGGAGCCTTGTATAGTGGCATCACTTACATACCTATAAAGCCGGCCCTGCGACTGGTAACTTAGTTACGCGGGGAAGCCCAACAACTAAAAGAGTCAAGTGCGAATCTGTAGGAGACGATAAATGAATTGAAGGTATGTGTGGGTTTTTCTTCAGCTTCTCTTTTATTTTAAGGTATATGAATATGCAGTTCGTGTGAGAAGCTTTGTTCACTTAACTGCTTGAATAATTGAGTGGAATGTGGATGCTTTTGTGTAGGTAAAAATGGCGTCAAACGAGTGTAAGTTTTGAAGAAAGTTGAGGTTGCATTATAAAACTAATTGACAATATGAGGAGTAGCCCAATTTTTTATAAGACCTTGCATAGTTTGGTTCTTCACCGATGTGAGACTTTGTCCTCACATTCTCACAAGTCTCCTTAAATGCGGCGAATTTTTAAGCCCAACATGTGGACAACACAAATGGGATGACATGGAGCACTTGTGGCTATTGGATTTTTAAGCCTAACATGTGGGCAACACAAATGAGATGACGTGGAGCACTTGTGGCCATTGGGCTTCACATGTGGACAACCTGCTCTGATACCATAAAGAAAGTTGAGGTTCCACCATAAACTAATTGGCAATATACGGAATAGCTCAACCTCTTATAAGTCCTTGCATAGTTTGGTCCCTCACTGATGTGGGACATTATCCTCACATCCTCACAAGTTTACCTTACACTGCCGGTCCTAAGCTCAAATAAAGGAGGCCAAGGAGGCGGTTAATTAAATAGTCGATAGCCGGCACTCCATTTTTCACATTGAATCTCTATTACAAAGTCTAATATACTTATAACACGTAAATTAGTAATATCAAATAATGATGCGAGTCCCACTAAAAAAATTTTAGGCAGTGCTTCTCTGCCTGTACAGTTTAATGTTCAACATTGCTAATCAATGGTGCTACATATTCTTTGTTGGAAATTCGAGTCCGCGACCAGAAAGTCACTCGAAAGTGGGTTTTGTGTTAGCTTTCCTTCGTCTCGGCCTAATTGGGTGCTGCTCAAATTAAACGTGTAGGAAATATAGAGAAGACCTTGACTCCATCTTTGGTCCCCATTCTAGATGGTTGCTTGACAATTTTGTTATTGGTTTTGTTTGTGGCTAGAGAAGTATAGACAAAAGGGGAGTAGCAAAAGTCAGGGAACTTTTGTTTTGCTTGTTTCTCCCCCTTCATTCTTTGGCACTAATATTTCAAGGAGAAGAACTTACAAGGCTTTAGTGATCTTCTTGTTGAGAGTATGAACCTTATATTAGAAAAATAAGAGACTTCACATATGCTTATAAGCAATTGGGTTATTCGTCATATGCCAATTGGTTTTATAGTATAACCTCAAATTTCTTTATGATATTAGAGTAGGATGCCCCGCGTACAGCCACATGTGGTCCATGTCATCCTGTTAGTGCTATCCATGTATATATATATATATATGCATTTATATACCTAAGTTCCCGAACTCAAGAATTTGCCTTTTACGGACGGTCCAAACAAAATTTCTTTTTTAGCATCGTCACGTATACAGTTCTAATATACCTAGCTAGTCAATTAGTATTTTTTTTAGTACATCGATATTTTTTACATTAATGGGAGAGGGAGTTCGGCTAAGGCACACAATTGGCAGTCTAATTTGGTACCGAATTCCTCACCCATGAGATTTAAACCTAAGATCTCTTACTTCCAAGTAAAAAAGAACACCACCAAATCGTAGTACTGAGTGACTCATCAATTAGTATTTTACCAACAGGAAAAAAGAAAACTAAGCTCTCGTCTAGTGCTGCTTCGAAAATTCTTTCACTCCAACATTATCCATTTTGTATGCATACAATCTAATTAAACTTATCACCTCGGTTAAATAGTATAAATCAGAAAGCTGGATGCTCTTTTTTCTAAACAAAAGCAATAAAGTCCGAGCCACTTGTGTGACAGATCTCATATTTACTGATTGTAAGTTATAGTATACAGAAAGTTGAGAATAAGTAACTGGACTACTCTTTATATTACTAATTAATTTTATAGTAGAATTTCAACTTTTTTCATACTATTTCTTCACAGATTTTTCATTGACCGGTGTAGAAAAAAAATTGCAGGCACTGATTGAGATATATATGTTATGCATGAACATGAGAACAATTGATTCCATTAGCAAAGATATATATATATTTTTTCCAATGATGATAAAGTAAATGAAAGTCTCCGATTGATATAGATGTAGTGACAGTACATTAATCACAAGTAGCGAACGAGGAGATGGGCGTGGAAGTCGTTTTGATAATTGAATATCTTCTCTTAATTATAATTTATAACTAAATGGAGCTCACACATGAAGATGACGACTTGTTTGAATGTACTTTTAGAATGACTAAAAATGTTTTTAAAGAAAATGTTTTTAGGTTCCAAAAGCACTTAAAGTGCTTTCTACAGTTATGTGCTTCTTCCCGGAAGCACTTTAAGTGATTATCTAGGATTTACTAGCATTTTTACTAAGGATTGTTTTCAAAAATATTTTTACCAAAAGTGCTTTCAGTTATTTTAAAAACACATCCAAACAAGCTTGATTTATTACAGTAACAAAAAACAATCATGTTCCTCCTAAAAATTTTGACAGAGTATTGCTTATTAATGAATACAAATTGAGTAGACTAAAGTAAGCCCCAATCTTTTTTTTTTTTTGGTAGAATGGGAATTATATTACCTAGGCTAAGAAGCCAAACATACATAAAAAGCCTACCACGAGGCAAGCAAACAAAACAACAAAAGCGAAACCAGATAGCAGAGGGAGTTACAAGGAAGACATCATAGCCACGCTAATCCGTCACCCACTCCACTGCTTATATTCCTTCACGGAGGACAGGGTAAACCATCATTTTGAAGCATAAAAACTAACGAAGATGGGGGTCGATTGACCCAAGAAACCTCGCACACCTCTGCGCACCTCTGTGACGCCAAGAAGTCCACCAACATGTTGGCTGATCTTGGAATCCAAGACCAGAGACAATCTTGAAAAGACTCCCCTAACCGTTTAGCATGCAGTAAAGCAAGGTAAGCCTCCCAGCTGCCATTCTCAATCGAATTCGACAGAGAAGTAATAGAGTTGTGAGAATCATATTCAACAACAACCTGTGTAAGTCTCAAAACAAGTCCACATTCACATCGTTTGAGGATTGCAACGGCTTCAGCAACACCCACCGATGGAGCGCGAATAGCATGCCTTCTTGCAGCGACAAAAGAACCCTCAACATCCTTAATGAGAATCCCCACAAAACTGTAACATGTCCGAACTGACCAACTAGCATCAACATTTACTTTTAAATAGGGCACGGTAGAGAACCATGTAAGCCCCAATCTTTTGTCCTACAAGAAACCTAATTCTTGACTTACAAGAAAAACCATAAGATAATAATAAGCAAGAAAACTCATTTTCAACGAGGTAACCAAATTATTCGAAATTGTTATATTAATTTAAGGGAGGGAAAGTTTCGAACTCAATACACACAGGTAGACAACCAACACATTATCCACTATCTTCACATCACATCGCTTAGGTAGTTTGATCATCCCCACTTACGCTTTCAGCGTCTACTTCGCTGAAGATATGTGATCGCCTTGTTGTGCCTTGACCCATTCGTTAGTGCGGAAACGAGATTCAAATTACAACCTCACCAAATCACACTCAGTTGAACAGAATAAAATACAAGAAATAAAGACACTGAGAAATTTACGATGTTCGGCTAAAACATGCCTACGTCCCTGGAGAGATATTGCTCTTCACTATGAGAATAACAGTACAAGTACACGTAAGTTAAATCAACATAATTCAATCCTAATCCCTTGCACACCCACTCTAGAATTTTCTCAAGAGCCTCACTCTACCCCAAGAGTTATTTCACTAGAATACTTTTCACTCTAGCTCTTTTGATTTTCTCTCAACCCATGTTCAACCTTTCCTATGGAAGAGCCGAATGCTCTCTCCACCTTGGATGCTTTTCTGGTGCTTACCTTCCCGCTTTCTAAGCATACTAAATGCACAAATATTGCATCTAGTTATAGGCATACACTAGCAACTATGCCAACAACCAAGACAAAAAAGTCTTATTTCACATGACATAATCATCACCTAGCCTACCTAGCATGCACCAAAGTCTATACCTAGTCTATAAAGTACAACTTTGCTTGTGGCAGTCACCATGTCTTCAATTGTTGTCAACACATGACTCATAATTACTCACAAATGTATGAGCCAAACACAACAATCTCCACATTGGCGAATACACCATGCAAAAATCCTTGCACCCATCACCAAAGCCCATTGGCCTTAGGTACCAGCATAAACACCCTGAATCCACCTCGTTGGTCCTGTTCCAATTCAGTCACTGCTAATGCATGTGCAGCTGCTGCAAGCTAAAAATCACCATTTAGCTTCAGACAGGATCTCGACACATCCTCGTCTCCTCCAGCAGGTTTTCCTCCTCTTCATTGTCTGCAACCTGGAAACTTGTCAATGCACCCTGTTTGTACCATACTTAGGGCCTCCGTATTTAAATCTCGTATAAATACTCGGGGGACTCAAATGTAATTATGTAATAAAGGAATGGGCAAATATGTAATAAGTGAGGAGCCTTTATTTTATAAAAGGACTCCTCACTCTTCTCATTAGGGGAGGCCAATTTCTTAGGCCATAGGAGAGAGCTCTCTCACCCTCAGAAGCTCTCTTCCTCACATACAAAGCCACAAGGCTCACAAACAGAGAAATACAATATCAGTGTGGACGTAGCCCAAACATTGGAGTGAACCAAGATACATCTTGCGTTTTTTTACTTTCTTGCAAATTCACGGTCAGATTTACGTTGTTCCAAGACCCCTCCGGTTTTGTGCATCAACATTTGGCGCCGTCTGTGGGAATCGACACAAAAAATCATGTCGATTCTCTTTCATTTTTTTTCATCTCACCACCGTGGATTTGCAAAAACCCAAACCCAAAGCACAAACATCTTAACACTCTTAACAAGACACATCATCCCAGCCAATCAAATGACTCCCCTCTTTCCTCTGTGTCATGAGAAGCCTCACTAAACGCGTGACAGAAGAGAGAGAGAGAGGTCGGGCGAAAAAGATGGGTCGCAGCTCCACATTTCAGTCTATAGGTCGTACCGACGTTGCTTCTTCTTGGTCATCTGGTTGCCGAAGTCTCAGCAGGTGATGCTCTGTTTCTCGGTCATCTGGTTGCCAAATTCTAGGAAGTCGTCTGCACCGAAGCACGGCATCGACGCCACCCGCTGATACCAAGGCGACAACAGCTGAGGACTCGTCAGATCAGGGCCCTACGACCAGACTTTTTGATGGATCTCGAGCCAAGAACTATGGATAGCGTCAGATCAGGGCTCTACGACGCTCCCTTCATAACTCGCCCCGCCGCTGTGAAATCAAATATGCTGGGTCTACTGCCCCTGCTGCAAAGGCACAGGTTGCAGAATGGCCACCAATTCGTTCCTTCCAAAAAAAATTCAATGGTTTCCGTTCCTTCGAAAAATGATGATGATACTGAAGGCAAGATGGGAGCATGGTGTCTATATGTTAAGGTCAGCATGGATGGTGCACCGTACTTGAGGAAAGTTGATCTGAAAACCTACGGTAGCTATCTGGAGTTATCTCTAGCTATGGAAAAGATGTTCAGCTGCTTTACAATCGGCCATTGTGGCTCACATGGAGATTCGAGAGACGGATTGAGCGAGAGTCGATTGGATCTTCCACATGGTGCTGAATATGTCCTCACCTATGAAGACAAAGATGGCGATTGGATGCTAGTTGGTGATGTTCCCAGGGAAATGTTTACCGACTCATGTAAGAGGATGAGGATCAACTTGGCACGATGACAGCGCAGAAGATGCCCACCAACTTTCATCATGCATGTTCCCCTGAAAAAACTACAGGAAAATGAGCAATTAATGCACAGCAGCCCAAGCTCTTTATTGATTAAGGGAATCAACTTGGCATGATGACATCGCAAAAGATGCCTACAAACTTTCATCATGCGGTGGTGATGAAAGCAAAAGCAGAAAGCAAAAGAAGATAAAAAGAAGTAGACATAATTGCGGTGGTGATGGCATGCATAAAAAGGAATTATGGGCGTGACCCATTGAGCAGATGATCGATTTTATTTTCGAATGATGTAATTTATTTTTCTTATCTTTTGGAGACATCTGTATAAACCCCATCAGAGGGTTAAAAAAAAAAGTACGTCCAGTACTCCAAAATTATTCGGCAACCTGCCGCTATTACCACCCACTAGGTGATCAAAAGTACGTCCAGTACTCCTAAAATTATTCGGCAGCCTGCCGCTCTTATCACCAACCAGGTGATCAAAAGTACGTCCAGTACTACAAAAAATTATTCGGCAGCCTGCCTCTATTATCACCAACCAGGTGACTAAAAGTACGTCCAGTACTACAAAAAATTATTCGGCAGCCTGCCGCTATTACCACCAACCAGGTGATCAAAAGTACGCCCAGTACTCCAAAATTATTCGGCAGCCTGCCGCTATTACCACCAACCAGGTGATCAAAAGTACGCCCAGTACTCCAAAATTATTCGGCAGCCTGCCGCTATTATCACTAACCAGGTGATCAAAAGTACGTCCAGTACTCCAAAATTATACATGAGCATTACTCATGTCAATCATACATAAACATTCATGAGCATCACTCATGTCAACCATACATAAACATTCATGAACATCATTCATGAGCATATCACTCATGTCAACATTCATGAGCATCACTCATATAAACATTCATGAACATCACTCATGTCAATCAACTTCAAAAACTTCATTTACAGAGCTCCAGCTTCAAAGCTTCATTTACAGAGCTTCAAAAACTTCATTTACAGAGCTCTAGCTTCAAAAGCTTCATTTACAGAGCTCCAGCTTCAAAGCTTCATTTACAGAGCTCCAGCTTCAAAGCTTCATTTACAGAGCTCCAGCTTCAAAGCTTCACTTTCAAAGCTTCACCTACAAAGCTTCAGTGCATGGTATACAAAGACCGTCTCCGAACAACCGCCACTTCAGCCCATACATGGATTAAATTTGAAGTCTCCAGCCAATAGCCTCTATTGACTGAAGACTTGGGGGACTACACTATGTACCATATATTGGGCCTCATGAAAAATACTCGGGGGACTTAACCCATTATTCATGTATTGAGGAGCGAGCCTTTATTTTATAAAAGGGACTCTCTCACTTTCATTAGAGAGCACCCATCACTTATGTATTGAGGAGCGAACTCTTATTCTATAAAAGGGACTCCCTCACCATCATTAGAGAGCATCGCTGCCTGTTGAGCAACCGCCTCGCTGCGAGCACCAACTCTAGCCCATCTTTTTTGTATTGAGGAACGAGCCCTTATTCTATAAACGGGACTCCCTCACCATCATTAGAGAGCATCGCCGCTTGCTGAGCAACCACTTCGCCGCGAGCACCAACTCTAGCCCATCTTTTTTGTATTGAGAGCGAGCCCTTATTCTATAAAAGGGACTCTCTCACCTTTAACGCCACAAGCCGAGCCAACCAAGGCAACATAAGCCACAAGTAGAGCAGCCTCGCAACATGTGCTACTTCTGGTTGAGCATCATTTCGGATTGGGCACCGCCTCATATCGAGTATAAGTTCTAGACGACATCTAGTTACTTCGGCCCACACATGGATTGAATTTTAAGTCTCCAGCCAAAAGACTCTCTTGACTGAAGACTTGGGAGACTACTGTTTGTACCATACTTAGGGCCTCCGTATTTAGATCTCGTATAAATACTCGGGGGCCTCAAATGTAATTATGTAATAAAGGAATAAGCAAATATGTATAAGTTAGAAGCCCTTATTCTATAAAAGGACTCCTCACTCTCCTCATTAGGAGAGGCCAATTTCTTAGGCCATGGGAGATAGCTCTCTCACCCTCAGAAGCTCTCTTCCTCACATACAAAGCCACAAGGTTCACAAACAGATAAATACAATATCAGTGTAGACGTAACCCAAACATTGGGGTGAACCACGATATATCTTGTGTTCTTTACTTTCTTGCAGATTCACAGTCGGATTTACATTGTTCCAAGACCCTTCCGGTTTTGTGCATCAACACACCCATTTCCAGCAACATCCGTCGAGCCAGACAAACATTCCTCACACTTCTCTTCCTTCAGGACCATCTCATCACCTGTGAATCCCATAGCTCCACCTGTTGCAAAAGCCCTGCAACACTTGAGACTAAACATCACCAGGAGAAGTGTTGCTTTGAGTACCTAGAGGGTATACTCGAAGGCTTCCGCCACAAAATTGCTACAACCCGGACCAAGATCATCATTTCTTTTTATCAAAGGATAATTTTTCTTTTTATGCCCGAATTCTTTGCAGTCGTAGCATTGTAGACCCTTGCCTTTGGAACTCGATTTGAACCTACTGTCTCATTCAAATCCTCTTCCCAATTTTCTTCCACGATTCCAACCTTGAACAGCTAAAGCAGTCTCGTGCCCATCATCAACAATGGTCTTCTTCTTTTGTGTATCATAAGACACCAAAGAAGCCTGCACCTGCTCCAAACTTACTGTATCTTTTCCATGCAGTAAGGTTGTCACAAGATTCTCATACGAATCTGGAAGTGAGGTAAGAAGTAAGAGGGCTTTGTCTTCTTCCTCAACCTTAACATCAACTTTCCGCAATTGATCCAAGTATCCGTTGAACACATTCATGTGGTCCATGAGATTCCCGCCTTCATCCATCTTTAGCTTGTATAACTTCCGCTTCAGATGTAACTTGTTGGTCAAACTCTTAGCAATATAGAGTTTTTCCAACTTCTCCCAGAGTGCAGGCGCATAATCTTCATCCATAACATTATTGATAATGTTGTCAGCTATACAGTGTCGAATTGTGCTAACACAACGCGACTCCAGCTCCTCCCACTGATCATCTGTCATTTCTTTAGGCTTCCCATCTTTTCCCTTCGAAGCTTTAGCCAAGCCTTGTTGAGTCAAGACATCCTTTACTCTCATCTGCCAGAGAGTAAAACTGTCTTTCCCATTAAACTTCTCAACTGAAAATGACATGTTTGTAGTCATCATGGTGACAGTCAATGAACCAAAGCTTCCAACAAAGCTCTGATACCAATTGTTGTGCCTTTGCCCGTTCGTTAGTGCGGAAACGAGATTGAGATTACAACCTCACCAAATCACACTCAGTTGAACAAAATAAAATACAAGAAATAAAGACACTGAGAAATTTACGAGGTTCGGCAAAAACATGCCTACGTCCCTAGAGAGATATTGCTCTTCACTATGAGAATAACAGTACAAGTACACATGAGTTAAATCAACATAACTCAATCCTAATCCCTTGCACACCCACTCATAGAATTTTCTCAAGAGCCTCACTCTACCCCCAAGAGTTCTTTCACCAGAGACCTTTTCACTCTAGCTCTCTTGATTTTCTCTCAACCCATATTCAACCTTTCCCATGGGAGAGCCAAATGCTCTCTCCACCTTGGATGCTTTTCTGGTGCTTACTTAACCACTTTCTAAGCATGTATTTGGTAATTGACTAACTTGAATCATGTCTTGTTCTTTCGAGCCGTAGTTATGCTTCTTGGACTTCCGTTCGGTTCCGTTGAGTGGTCCGGAATTGAGTTCTGCTTGGATTTCGTTGAGTGATGGTCCGAAATTGTATCTTGATTTGGATTCCGTTGAGTGATGGTCCGGAATCCCTTCTACTCCGCGATTCCGTTGAGTGATGGTTCGGAATCGTATCCTGATTTGGATTCCGCTGAGTGATGGTCCGAAGTCCCCTTTGGTGCTTTGATTCTGTTGGATGGTCCAAAATCCCCTTTTCAGAAATGTAGTCTTTGGTCAAACTGTGTCGCTCTAGCCCTGCATTTCGGTCTATGATATGTGATATTGATTGATGTGATTGTGAATGATGTTGGTTGTGATTATTGCCATTATGATTAGACTTGTTGACCAATGTGGCTAGATAATAACATTGTGCTTCGTTGACCGTTCTTTGAGATGTTGCATACTATGATTTGTGGTGATATGTGAAACATGATGATTTATGTGATGAATGAAGTGGAAATGTTAATCGTCATGTAGGATTGTTACGTTGGATATCATTGTATTTGTTATGATTAGACTTGTTGATAAATATGGCTAGAAAATATGTGTGTTTCATCGTTGTTCTTTGATATATCGCATAATATGCATTGTGGTATATTGTTGGGACAAAACGTTTTATGTGATGGATATTCGATTGTAGTGAAACAATGAACTACGAATGGCGTGATCCCTATTGAGGGTACGTAGGCAGTCTAACGAGGAGGTTAGATGCAACCATAAAATATACAAAAATTTCTATGAGATTTGGATCTTGAATTATGCTATATACATATCTCGGAGGCGAGGTAGGTTGAGATACAGGTATTTTGTGACGTCATGTGTCGATCCTGGACTTATGTCGGGATCGGGGCGTGACAAGTCACTTTTCAGGCTATTTTCCGGCCATCTCTGGCAACCATTGGGCTTCCAAATAGGTATAATCTTATTCTACACTTTCCTATCTTCATTTTGATATATTATGGGTCGAATTTGGTTAAGAAATGATTGAGTTACCAAGCTTTGAAAATTGCCCAAAGAGTTTTTAACGGAATGACCAAAATCATGGATGGTGGACAATCTCAGGGACCATTTCTATTGATTTTCAATCTCATGAGCCATTTCTATTAATCATGCAAATCTCATGGACTATTTTGTATAATAACCCTTCACCGAAATGACATATGTCAGCATTTCATTTGCTAAAATAAATGAGGTTTGATTAATCAAAATACTACTTGTTGCGTTAAAAGGGTATCTCTTTATAGCCAATTTGGCTAATCCAAGAGCCTGCGGTCAAAAGAGGTATGCGATTGAGTATTACCATGTGAAATATATTCTCAGGGACTATTTAGTTTGGACACTTTGGTCCACACAGTACGACCATAGCCAGAAAGTTGTATGCGAGTCCGATTAATTCTTGGTTTATTTTTCTCCCCTTGGACCAAACTCAATCCTGGGCTATTTGCCAAATTTCTCTATTTATTCCTCCCCGCACCCAAACCCAACCCAACCCAACCCAACTTAACCCAAATCAAATCTTTGGGCTAAAAACCAAATGCTAAACCAAAGTCAAATACCCCCCCCAGAATTAGCCCAGAAGCGTGTGGACTCGCCCAAACCCAACCCATTCTCGGCCCGATCACGCGCCCAACTCGCCCCACGAAGGTTGAGGCCTTCAACGCCAAACAGGGCGGGACCCATTGTCAGGGCCGCTATCAGCGACCATCATGAGCCCAACGACTCTTTTTATCATCCGACAATTGAGATTTTTGGACCGTTGGTTGATCCAACGGTCCAGATTCAAATTTTGTTTTTTAAAAAAATGTAATTTTAAAATACATTGAATCCAACGACTGAGTTCAAATATAATTAAATCTAACGGTAAAAAAAAGATCTAACGACCCAAATTTAAATCCAAAGGCTAAAATAATAAAAAAAATTATTTTACTCAAAATTCACCCAAAAACTCTATAATTACATATGTATTTGTTCAAACATCCACACAAAACTCACTTTTCTCCTACAATTCTTCCAATTTTTCTTTCTACCATTTCTTTCCATTTTCAAATTGCTCAACATGGCAAGAGAGAGTAAAGAAAATGTGTGAGAGCAATGGCGGAACCAAAAATTCATGCCAGGAGGGGCCTTTAAACTATGAAAGAAATTAGAAAAAAATTTAGTAATATCATGGAATTTGAATCAAACAAGAGTGATAGAGCTTTAAAATTTGTATGAAAAAATTAGTATTGAGAGATGTCATAGTAAATAGAACCTGTGTTGACATCTAACACAACATTGATAATAACGTTATAACTAGCTCAAACTATTATTACGATATTTTTCTTTTAATATTATTGAATCTTCCTCTCGAATATATATACCTTGTTTTATATGAACTAACAAAAAAATAAGCTATTATTACGATACTTTTTTTTAATATCATTCAATCTTCCTCCCGAATATATATACATTGTTTTATATGAACTAACAAAAAAATAATTGGTTTAAAAGAAATCAAAATGTTAGTACAAGGGTAGTTATATATGGTAATTGGTAAAAAAATACCAAAAAGTAACTTTCCGTTAGCAAGCGTCGACCCCAGGACCTAATGAAACCTTTCAAAGGTAATATTCCAACACACCACATGCACATTATTGCAAAAAATTACTACATAGTAGATATATATTTATTTCCAGGATGGGCCTTGGACTACCCTAATCTCCATGTGGCTCCGTCACTGTGTGAGAGTAAAAATGAATGTATAGATGTACAAGAGTGAATGAGTTAGTCAATAAAGAAAGAGAAAGAAACAGCCTGTTCCATCAAGAGAGTTTTAATTTCTTTTCTTCTTTTTTCCTGGTGTAGCACCGAAGTTTCAAAGAGAAGACTGAATGAGCGATTGAAAATAAGCCCGTGTGTTATCATCAGTACCTCTAAAATTTGTTAATACGATACCCTAAAATATAGTATTAATTTGTCTGTATATTCGAAACCACCGGCCCTATTCTCTCATATTTTCTGTAGATATCTATATGTTGCATTTTCACTTAAGCGGCTTAAAAATACTTCACTTAAATCATGAAAATTATAGAATAGTGTGGGAACAAACTCTAGGCCCGTATTCTATGGGGCTCATCTTGAATTTGATTCATACTGCGGCTGAACCACACGATGGTAGTAAGAAGGAAGCTGAAATGCTTATGTGAGTCTTTATGACCTCTAGAATGGTAAATTACCGTAAAGAAACCACCAGCTGGTCTTTTAAAAAATAAAAAAACTATGTGCTACGGTGAAGATTCCATTATATTGTAGTCAGACTTCATAAAAAAAAAAATTATATTATAGTCAGATAATCACGTCTAATATAAAATTTTAGCATGATTATGGAGTTTAACCTAAATTTCAAAACAAAATTAAATGTACGAAAAATATATCTTCTTTTTACAGAGTACATTGGCCGGCCCAAGGCCCTAAACACACATTTAAATACAACTGTATGTATCTGGCTCTATCCATACTCCATTTAGGGTAAATACTCTTCAAAAATTGCTGCGTGGGTGCCACAGAGAATCATCCCAGATGTGCATGGCCCAACGCTCGCCCAGACCACAGCAACTCTAGGTGAAATGGGAAGCGCTTTCTTGACATGCATGCATGGCTTTTCTCTTTGGCATTCCTGTCATGCACCCAGATTAACCAATAACCCAGAGTACCGCCACAACAACTTGAACGGTGACTCTAACAGCAACGAAAGATTTTCTCTTCCCTGTTCCTGTATGCACATATGGAATTGTACGTACGTACTCGATATTAATAATATCAAGCCAAAAGCTAATCAACATAATACTAATTAGTTAATTAAATTGATCATCATTTTAATCATAATACTTACCACCACTTTTGGTTGGTTTTCCTTCCCCGTAAAAGAGGTCAGGCCCGTACCTCAACTGACAGCTTGGCGAAAAAATCATACCCCATGTTCTTCCCTCACCTCACAAGTCTCCTGATACCAACCGATACCTGCCCTCAAACACCTTTGACAGCCAGTCCCATTTATGTCCGGAGTACATTGCAACAAACAATATATCGACGTCCCTCCGTTGCCTTTCTTGTCATCCCCGGTTGCAAAATAAATTGGTGTGGTATTGCCAACAGCTTTGTCCACAAGACCATTCATCAAACTCAACAAGCTCTGATTAAACTGGTCTTCGTTTGACTCTTTGTTCACACTGCACCAATATCGCCACGGAAGCTCCTCCTCCGTGGCAGAGATGGAGCGGTTCGAATATCCCAACATGCATTTCCTCATACCAAACGATAGATTCCCTGTTGTTGGTGCAATTTTGTTTGAGGTTCTTGGCAGCGGAGTCGATGCAGTCGTGGCAGACTCCGGACTTGACAGAACCTCGACAAAGGTACAGGCCGTACACTTTTTTGTCGTTGTCTCCGGAGGTGGAGTTGTAGAAGCTGGTGCCCGAGGATTTCGAGGAGAGTTCGGTGAGGAGTTTGTTAACGTTGTCTTGGAACGAGCCGTTTTGGGCTTTGTTAACTTCTAAGGAGCAATAGTGGTGGATGTAGTGAATCGAATTGGAACAGATAACAAGTTTGGATAGGCCGATGAATGAAAGGGATACAATTATTAGGGTGGGACCATGAAAATTAACTAATGACATCTTAATTTGTTTGATCGAATCCCTAACAGTTCCTGAACTGGTGGTGCAAAAGGAACATAATTAGAAATAATTAAGGTGGTTTTTTAGTGATGGAGATCAAGTGACATCTTTGCTTGCTCGATGGTTGAAGATTGTTGAATTAGTGGTGCAAAAGGCATGCATGAATATTGACGTTAAATAATAGGAGGCATCCCTGAAAGGCTCTCATAATTTGCGTTGACATATTCAACGTGATTTTCTCTTTTCTATGACTAATTCAGAAAACATAATAATTGATTGGGAGAGGGAACAGACATCCGTTACTTTTACTGTAAAAGTTTTCTATAAATATAAGCTACAAGAATAAACTCACCAACTTTGAAGCAAGAATACAAGAAAATGACTTGTGCTACAAAAAAAAAAACAAAAAAAAAAAAAACCTTTATATATGTGTTCCCATACGGTTCATCAGTCATCACTAGCGAGGATATGGTTCAGTAATATTTGAAGGCTCATTTTGCGTCACATAGACGGAGCTACTTTTCGATTCATTAGACTCTGTCAATCTTGTCAACAATATGTCTGATCGACCGTTGTCTTGCAAATAAAATGCAGGTCGTGAGGGCACTGAAAGTGTGAGAGAATGACTATTAAACATGGATACAACTGAAGCCACCGTCGGTCTGTCAACCACATTTTGTTGCACACAAAGTAAACCAATGTGGATGCATCTCATTGTTTCAGTTCTTGAACTTGTCGTCAACGTAGGATCTATGATATTTTGAGGTGTTTCCTCCATCCAATTTCTCCAGGCCTATAAAAGTTCATCAATATAGTTAAAAGGAAAATTCTTACAACTAGTTAATTTTTCTTTGGCAGGCAAAAGAGGGAATAACCAACTTGATCATACTCATACTCACATAGCTTAAAAGGTCCTCTTCATTTTCACCATATCGAAAACTTCCAATCCTTTTACCACTAATAATTTCAAGAACTAACACACCAAAACTGAAGACATCAGTTTTGACTGAGAAACGTCCATGAATTACATACTCTGGAGCCATATATCCACTGCGAGATAATATTCAGGTTATAAGAATGTAAGTTTCTTCTTTTGTAATGAAAACTTGAATTTTTTTTAAATTCCACTGTAATCAAAGCACAAAACTAAAGTGTAAGATAGCTTGCAATGTTACTTACTAGGTTCCCACAATTGTCCTTGTATCTCCTTGAGTTTGATCGATAACAAACAATCTGGCCATACCAAAATCAGCAATTTTGGGGTTCATATCTTCATCTAACAAAATGTTGCTTGCTTTGAGATCACGATGAATAATTCGAACCCGAGAATCTTCATGAAGGTAAAGGATCCCTCGAGCAATGCCTCGTATGATCTTGTAACGTGTTTCCCAATCCAAATGAACATGATTTTTGGGGTCTAATAAAAATGGTTTAGGTAATGAAATATGAGATTTTTTTTATCTATAAGAAATGAGTAATGCTACACTTAGCACATATTTGTACCATCAATATTTGTATCATATCTCTAATAGAGGTAGAGCTCACCAACACGTGTGGGTCTCATCTCTATTAGAAATTTGGTACAAATGATGGTAGAAATGTGATAAAAGTAGCTTTTTTAAAAATAAAAAAAGAAATTACTATAAAATATATAACCAACAAAGAGCTAGAGCAAATATACCAAAAATGAAGTTATCAAGACTTGCGTTAGCCACGTATTCGTAAATGAGGAGTCTTTCATCTGATTTCAAGCAAAATCCAAGGAGCCTTACTAGATTCCGGTGTTGAAGCTGAGCAAGCAACTCGACCTCGTTCTTAAATTCACGATCGCCTTGTTGAGAATTATTAGCCAGCCTTTTCACGGCTATAAGTTGCCCATTAAATAGCCGTCCCTGAATGTTTGACAGGAAAAAAAAAATGGTAAGGAAACAATTGTTAAGTGTCATCTTTCTTGTGGAATTTATTTGTTTTGTTACCTTGTAAACAGCTCCAAATCCACCTCGTCCAAGCTTATTTACATCAGAGAAGTCATCTGTTGCAGATTGTATAGTTTCGAAGTCATATTGCAACGACTCCAACAAATTAACTTGATCTGAATTCTCGCTATCTGAAAAATAACAAATGTTTCCAAACTTTGGATGAGATAAATGCATTTTATTGATCAGAGTGTGACGATAAAACATGTTGAACTTATTACCTTCAACTTCAAGTAATTTTACTCTTCGTTTCCTCATTCTTAAGAAAATACATGTGCTGCTCATGATAATAGCGATGGCAACCAAAACCACAGTGATGATGATGACAATTTCTCTTGTATTACTCTTATTTGATCCTGAAATATTGTAAATCACATGCGTAGTTTTATCAAGAATCACACCACATAATTGTAAGGCATCAACTGCGTTTAAGCATATGCAGGGGACCTGAAATAGCAATTCATTTCAATACTAGCATACCTCCTTTGGGTGCTGGTGCTGGACCTGCTGGTGCTGATGGATCTGAAATATTTATTGACGAAGCAGCGGAAGGATCGAAGAAAAGACCATCCTCGTACCTTAAATCACAGCTGGGTTTAAGAACTCTTCCTCCTTTTTTTCCACCGCAACATCCCGGAATAATTGAGACGGAATCTTTGAGGCAATTGCTGCAGTTTTGCTGGTTTATATCTGGAGTGCACTGGGCAAATGCATATATTGTTTCGGCATTCGGGACAGTTGCATGTCCTGCCGCAAATTTTTTAAGAGAATTCCCTGATGCAGCTTTCTCACTTAAAATACCCAACAAAGGATTGAGTACCACCTCAAACTGTTGAGCGTTTTCAGCTAAATTTGGGCCAGGCAAAAACTTAGTTGGGACCTTTTGCTCAATACCAAATATTACGTTGTACGAGTATCGAACCATACAACCCTCTCCCCATGCTTCCTTATGATTTGAACAATTATGCAAGAGAATGTGACTGGACTCATTGACGCAAGTGCGACAACCGCCAAGTGCAAGGTCTCCTCTGCATAATGCAATGGCATTGACTTTGTTGGAGTCTTGTCCCGCTGAAGAATTGTAGAACCCAGAGCTGCTTCGGGTGTCTGAGAAGGAAGAGAAGATCCTCTGGAGGTTGGAATGGTACATATCACCTGGTGTGTAGTTGCCTGCAGTATCAGAACATATCCAGCAGTATTCAGCTGCGCTAGTGCAGGTGCGATTGTCGAATTGAGCCAGGGTGGGAGCTAGAAGGTTGAAGATACTAGGAAGAACGAAGAAAAGCAATGATCTCGAGGAATCCATTTCTCCTGCTCAAGTCCGAAGTAACACGGTTGGGGTTTTGTGGCTCAATATAATTATGTTAGGATGTGGGTGGATGGACGGAAAAAATCCCACGTTTGGTAGAAGCGTACCATATAATCTACTCGTTCAAATGGTGGCTAGCGTTGATTGCACCTTCTATATAATCAACCCACCTACACGGGAAGAAACCAAAAGTACAGATAAATATAAATAGGTAACGACATTGATAGCCGCCGCTTGAATACACGATATTTAGAAAAATCAGTTGAAAAATTATGCCAATTGACTAATTAGGCTACTAAGTGATGAAATTGAGGTTTCACCGTAAAACCAATTGATTATATAGGGAGTAGCTTAAAACCATATAAGCATATAGCAAATCTTGTCCCTCATTGATGTGGGAAAACTCTCAACCCACCTCCATACTTGTGGCGGATTTTCAAGCCTACACGTGGACAACAACTTAGTGAAGTGAAGTGCGTGTGGCCGTTTGGCTTCACACGAGGACAACCCGCTTTGATACCATGATGAAATTGAGGTTCCACCATAAAACCAATTGGCTATATGGGGAGTAGCCCAATACCATATAAGCACATAATAAACTTTGTTCATCACCGATGTGGGATAACTCTCAACACTAAGTAGCAGTATGCTGTTGCGGGCCATGGAGTTTTAACGAAAAGCCCGTGGTACTGTTCACTTTAACAAAAAATCATATTTTTACACTAAAAAGTCAAATATTGTACTATTCACTTTACCCTTTATTTTGTCCTTATCGTTAAAATTCAAAGTTTTCAAACCTTTTTCATTAGTTTTCTTTTGTACATATGTCAATCCTTACGAAAGTAATAGCAGGCAAGAGTGATTTTCGGGTGCCAAAAAAATCTTTGAAATGTCGTACATTGAATGTAAGAAACTTGGGCTAACTCCAAACCTATCGCCTAAAACCTACTTTAACCCCCGCCCCCACCCCCCACCCCGCTCCTATGGCCTAAAACCTACTTGACCTCTTCCCACCCCACCCGAAAAATCAATTCCAACCTAAGTTCTAATTTTAATTTGGATCCAAAGCCAAATACCGGTCCAGGTGAAATGACGAAAAAGGGCATGGGGCACATGTTGCTTTTATATGATTGTGCGCTGGTGTTGCCATCTTACGTGTGCTTTCCTCATCTTTCAACTCTTTTCAACACTTTCAAATAGGGGTGGATTCGGTTCCGTTCGGTTCGGTTTTTGGTTGAAACCGGAAACCAAACCGAAATTACTGTTCGGTTTGGTTTGGTTCGATTTTTCTTCGGTTTTTGTTTGTTTCAGTTTTTTTCAGTTTGGTTTCGGTCCGGTTCGGTTTTTCACAGTAAAATTCAACCATTTCATTCCCTTTTTACTCATCCAATTTTACAGTAAATTTTTCACAACAATTCAACCATTTCATTCCCCGTGTTCTGTTCCTGAGGGCTCAGCCTGCAAGCCATCGTAAAACATGAGAGCAAGGATAAGCAAAGCTCGTTACACGACTTATTATCTTAGTAGCAGCTAGTGCAGCCACCATTAACAGATCTAAAGAAGATGCTATTATTATAGCATAACCCGCATGTCTGACCGACTTCTTAACTGATAAAGTTTTTCATGATTCATTTAGAGCAGTGACCATTAGTGTGTTTTGAAACTAAAAATATGAAGCCCACTCCTGAACTGTGTTAGACTCTAAAACCAAAAGGCGCAGGTCTGTCCCTCTAATTGCATACTTCACTAAGTACAACAAGAATAAGGCAAGTTACCTGGCCATCTGCAATTATGAATAAGACATGGTATTGGCCACCACTCTCCTCAACAATGGTCATGGCCTGTCCAATTACAGGTGCAAATGAAGTCGGTCCTGCCAAACATAATGATAATAATGTAAGATGATTGATTAGATGATATAAATGACCACGTCAAGAAATAAGTACTTGGGAAGCAAGGAAACCAGGTTCCCCCTGAAAACATAAAAGAGGCATGACAGCCATCAGCATTTGATTCATTGATTTATCTTCCAAGAGCACAGTAAAAACCATATCCAAAACAGATACTTAAATGAATAAAATATAAAAAAATATTAATTTAATTAATTCGGTTCGGTTCGGTTTTTTCAATTCGGTTCGGTTTTTTCGGTTTCGATTTGGTGTTCGGTTCGGTTTTTTTCGGTTTTTGGTTTTTTGAACCCACCCCTACTTTCAAACACTCTGAACGACAAAACCACCGCTTGCTTCTCCACCAGTTCACCCAGACCACCGCAATCACTGCCACCACTTCACCCAAATCCAACGAAGGGTGCCACAACAAATGTGTGTATCTTCCTGCACCACCGGTCTCCGCAACATTTTCCAAAACCCGCTTGACTAAGGTAAGCGAATTTGGTGTTCTGGATTATATTGGAATTGAAATAGGTTTGGTTTCATTAACTTTTTGGGTTATTAAATTTGTATGCTCTGATTGTTTGGAATTTAATTTTGATTTACAAATTTCTGATAAAACCTCAACAAGAAATTTAGGAACATGTTTTTTTTTTTTTTGGGTCTTCTTTCTTCTGATTTTTTGGGTTTTCATCTAGGTTATTTTCTGAACATGCTCCATTTATTTTACACTTGGTTTCGTATACCCTGCAGCAGTCAAATAGATAACCTTACAGAACCAAAAGCCATTGAAATGGCGAGTGGCATATATGTTTATTTCTATGTTTTCAAATCTGAGTTTTAGATATTTTTCTTTGTTTTGGTTAATTATGGAATTTTGGCTCCCAATTTCTTAAAACTTTTGAATTTTTTTCGCTATTTAGTGTGAGAATATGGGTCCAAGATTGGATTCTTCCAATTTCTGGGCAGGGAAAACAGGGTGGTGACGGTAGACAATTCCAACTTCTTTGTGGTGGAAATCATAGTTTCATTTTAGATTTTCTTGTGGGCTTATGAAATGAGTTGGAATGATGTCTCATGATTGAATGTTTTTTAATTTAGTTGTGAACCAGAACCTGGGTATCAACCAAGGACTGATTGCGGGAGGGTTCAAGTTTTCCGACGTGATTGTTAATTTCTGTAATTTAATCATTTTGAGTTCTTATTTTTTATAATTCTGTTTTTGCAGGAATTATTGTTAATTGTTATGTTGAATTTCAGGCACGAAGCTAGGAGAGAGTTTTCGTCTGCACCAATAAGTAAAAGATTCGATATTTTCACCCTGGAGACTCTGGATGGCATCTGTGTAGCCATTATAGGGTTCATAAAGGAGCAGAACACTATGGAAAACGGGATTCCTTCTGAGGTAGTACTCCATGTTTGCTAATATTGCTCTTCCTTACTGATTTCGGTTGACATTGTCAATGTAATTTACTTTTGAATGTTTTTAGGTACAAATTTAGTTTCGCCTGGATATGAATACATGCATTTGGGGGTTTTGGGGAATCACAAATCTTGGAGGTATTGAGTTTTGGGAACCGTCTTTTAATTCAGATTCATATTGGTGTGATGGAAGATTTGAAATTTAATTTATGCGGTCATTTGTTTCTTCTCAGCTATCAATTTGTTGCTTGGAGTTTACGTTTTGTTTTGCACACGATGCCAAAAAGAACTAGGAGTAACAAAAACAATTAGATCGTATAAGATTATTCTTGTGGCATTCCCGGCAGCGCAACGCGGACGTTTTTGCTAGTATCACCTAAATATGCAGTTTATGATAATTTTGTTGACGTTCGCACTTGAAAGAAGAAAAATCTCATAAAAAAAGAGAAAATTAATGAAAAATGTTGGAAAATTTTGAATTTTAATGATAATGACAAAATAAAGAGCAAAATGAAAAGTACCATGATTGATTTTTTAGTGTAAAAATATAATTTTTCGTTAAAGTGAATAGTACTAGAAGTTTTTCGTTAGGTACCGTTTGGTACGCAGACGGGACGGAACAGATGATGTAAATATTGAAATACATAAGGAGAAATTTTGTCATAAAATGTTATAAATTTATGTTCTACGGATGTGGAACGGGTCGTTCCAAGGGAAGAGGTGGAATGAAAAATCAGCCAAATTTTGTCCCATGGGACAACCCGTTCCACAGTTTTTAGGCGCACCAAACGTGAGACAGAACGGCTCGTCCCACGTACCAAACGGTAAGTTACTTAAAAAAAAAAAAAAAAAAAAGATGTGACAACTTTTCGTTGAGGTTCTTTAAAAAAAAAAGATGCCTTGAGGTTCCGGGGGATTGAAAATTGACTGTTTAATCTTTGTCGTCTTCTTCTTCATGTAAGTCATGGTTGAGACGTCATCATGAATGGACAGGAGCGTAGAGTCGTGTGGAAATGAAGCCCCTTTTCTTTTCTGGGTGCATATTTCAGCCAAACTTTGTTCGTGCTTGTTTTTTTCCATCAGACTTTCAATAATTACATCTTCATATTAATATTTAGTCTTCACGCCTCTTGGAAAAGGTTTGTCTTTGGTGGATCTGGTTTGAACCTTCTTCTCCCAGTTTGTGGTCACAAATTCAAGGATGAAAAGAATTGGTTTCCATGGAAATATATACAAATTCAACGTCTGAATATTTTAATATTAATATTGATATCACTGATCATTTCATACGACTATTTGGTTCATAACCAACAAATGATGGTCTAGCCATAATTTTTCCCCGTACTGCCGAGGTTTTTTTTTTATAAAATGGTCTAGCCAGAACTTATTACATACTTAAGATAAAGATTATGATCACTTACTTTCTTAATTATTTGTTATCAAAGCTTAAAATATTGCTCTCCCCTTTGTTACAAAATCAGGTGTTCAGAAATACACATCGTGTACCTTCTTATGACACGTCCCGACCCCGATATTCCCTGATTATCAGAATAGGCACGTGTTGCCCGACACTCGAGGGTGACGAAAGCCATTTATTGAGTGCAAATGCTGAAAACAAGGGATAGATAAAACTTATAAATGTAAAATAATAAGGAATATGCATTTAAGGAACGTGTTCAGAGCACACATCTAATCTAGAACACTAAAAGAATTAATATAAAAATTGAATGAACACAGAAGTGGGTCTTACACCGAGAGGACTCGAAGATACCGATGCAGAAGTGCCTGGATGTCAGGATTGTATGCCTCGATTCTAAGTCATG